TATATATATATATATATATATATATATATATATATATATATATATATATATATATATATATATATATATATATATATATATATAATATATATAGACTCATTCAAGTAAAAACTATATGAGCTTTTTGCCTTAGATGATAGTTTTGGAACAGATGTCAATGAGTGTATCAAACTACCTCATGTTTTATTGAATAAAAATATGACAGTATGAGTAATTACAAAGCAAAATTATGAAATACAGGTTATGGTGCAAACAAGAAGACATTGAAAAAGAATATGATTTGACAATACTGATGAAGAAAAAAGTTTTATATGATTGAGGTATAGTAAAGGTTCTGTTGAAATTGTGTCCAGGGGACTAATGTTTCCATGTGACAATAATTCACACTGTATCCAGCAGGAATGCCAGCACTCCATTTATCAGTCTGTATTTCCAAAGTTGGATGTTTCTTTTTCAAAGATAAATCAGAGAAGGAAAAAAAACCTTCACCTCCACAGTTTTGGTCAACTCTGAATTTTTTTATATTTGAAAAGAAAAGTTTACTTGGACCATAAAGAGACATTACTGTTTTGTCACGCCTAATATAAAAAAATAATTTTATAATTTGCTGATTTAGCTCAGCTAGGATTACTTAGATGATTTTTAACTGGCTTAATGTTAGAATATTGGGAAATTGTATTTTTTCATAATTTTTCGATGTCTGAAGTTATAATAAATTGGTCATACTCTAATAAAAATAGGAATTTATATGATTATCTTTAACATCTCTCTCTTAATCAGAGGCAAACCAACATTTCTATTCTAAGGTACCATCTCATACCTAAGACCTCCCTGTCTGATTGGGGCAATCAATAAAACTAGCAAGCAAGACTTCAAAATAAGAATTTTGAACATCACCCAGTCTGGATTATCTTTGGGTACAAATTTTAGATGCTTGAAACTCCATCCGTTTAAAAAATTTCTGCAACTACAAAAAGGAAAAGGATAGCAGAATTGAGTTATCACACTAATTACCAACATTTTTCTTTTTTGAATGAGACAACTACTACTTTGATAATTTGTTGATTGTGCATTTTTGTTTTGATTTTGTCTCAGAAAATCAGATAATATATCAACAATTGTAATAAGTAAAAGGAAAAACAAAAAAGCTGCAAAAGAAGAATAAACTTTTCTATGAAACAGAGAGAAATTGTTCATATCTTGGTCCATAGGAGCTGCTCAACAAACTATTCATGTAATTTGTTCTAGAGTCATTTCGATCACCAAGGCTATTCTCTTAATCAAATGTTAATTTCTATATAGGCAATATGCTTTCTCAACTCGTACTTTTCATAATTTCTCTGTTGTCTCTTCAATGAATGTACTTTTAAAAGACAAAATTCAAGTTTAAACAAATTGTAGAAGCTTATGTTAATTAGGGCTTTAAAATGTTCTCGCATAGCAATAAAGGACATACTCATTTCATGATAGACAAAAGCAGCAACCCTGTTGTCCTTCAGTTTGAGGCATGCATAAATAAATACAAAGATCTCATAAAGTACAGTACTTGTAAAAACACATAAAGGGTTGATTAGGGAGTAGAAGTTTTTGTATCAGTTCCTCCCCCTTAATCCAGCGTAAATTGATTTTGCTTCAGTCTTGTTTCCTTGGTGCTGATTGTTCAGAGCAATAAAATAGTTGCTGTTTGTTGAGTTGACCTGACAAACCTTACAAAGAAATAATTAACTCTGTATAGGTTGGTTTGCTTAGTTTCCTGTATTTTGCATCATACTGCATGATCATCTTTTAATTTCTTTTTTAGTTTATGTTTTTTTTTTTGGCAGTATTAAACATTTGAGGCATAAAACAAGTTCTGACTCTAAATCCATAACATATTTTTTATCTGTAAATAAGTCTTCATCCTTTGACAATTCCTTGAATGCAATTAGTCTTTTGTATCTTTTGTCCTTGCAGCTATCTTTTGGCAGCTTCTCTCTTTAGAGAAAGTCACTCTGTAGCTCATTGGAGAGTTGACTGACAGCAACCTCGGTGAGCACAGATCCTTTAAGTATTCTTGCAGTCTGCTGAGGGCTGTCATCTGTGAAGTTTTCCTTGGCACCGGTGACCATTTCAGTGCAAGGACAGTGTCTGCAGGTCTGATGGTTCTCTGGTAGCCCATTGGACAACCTTGTAGAATTGCATTCATCATTATGATGAGATTGCCTGCAAGTACCCTTCCTGTGTTGACAAATAAATCTACAGAAAGTGGTTCTACAGTGAGCTACATCCCGACACAATGACTTGCGGAAGTTGGGTTTAAAGACCAGATAAACGATGGGATTGTAAAGAGTGGAGGATTTGGCAAAAATGGCTGCCAGAGCAAATGCCATTGGTGGTACATCTGTTGAGTGACCAAATGCTGCCCACATGGAAACAATTGCATATGGACTCCATGCTGTCAGGAAACCGATGCAAACTGCCACAGAGAGCTGAAAAGCAAAATGAAAACACTCAAAAGACTTTCCACATGAAATAAATGATGATGCCAACAGAATAAGATAGAGGACTATTGTGTAGTTACCTTGACAATAAGTGTGTGTGCATTTGTAATCTTGTTCTGCGGAGACATATGTTGCTGCACAGCCTGCCGAGAGCCTCGCACAGTCACCAAAATGAAGGTGTAGGACAGAAAAATCACAGTGCAGGGTACAATGTAGCAGAAGAAGAAGAGACAAATGATGTAGCTCATGGCTGCCGAACTGTAGTTGGGAGCATGCCAGTTGATGCAGCATGCTGTTCCATAAGGTTCAGCCCCATACTCTCCCCAACCTGACAGTGGACCCACGGCAAACACTCCAGCGTAGCACCAGATGCCTGCTACGAGCAGGTAGGCATGGCAGTAGGAGAATTTGTTGCCTGTAGTGAGAGGTTAAGGATAAGTGATTAGCTAATAACCACAGGCAAGGAAATAAACCTACAACAGAAGTGTATAATAAAGTTAAAATACATGGTATTTACAAAAAAATGGCAATTTATATTCTGTGGATCAGGAAGAAGCATTCTTTGAAAATTAAATACATTCATTGTTTTGTGCAAAGACCCCTTTTTAATACAAGACTGAATAAGTGCTACTTCAACTAAGCCTCTGATGTTTGTTAGAGAAAATTTGGTAAAAATAGCATCAAGACCAAGGAATCATAAATGTGAAGAAGCTTGAGAAGGAGAGAGATATCCCAATCTTTGAATGTAACCCAGAACACTGTTCAATATATCATCCAAAAACAAAGGTATGTAACCATTGGCATTTACATAAATTGAAAGGCCTGTACCAGTTTTCTTTTTGGCAGCATTGTAAGTTTTAGTCTTTGTCTTTTAGATGAAAATGCTTATTAATTTTAGTCAAATTAAAGCAGTACTAAATAACTTTTTTGGCTCCCCCTAGTAGATGATCACTGTATTGTTTTGCCTAAAGGAAAACATTTCCCATTAGGACCAGCGTGGTAAAAACCATGGCTAAAATATTTAGCTCCCAGTCGCTTGCAGTTGGATTGAACTACATTTCTGTGTCCAGTGGCAGTGTGACAGATGAATAGCGATGAGGTAATGAATCTAATTGTGATAAAAAATGTCAAATGATGATGTTGAAAATAAGAAGCTTTGGTTTTGTACCGTATTCCTGCACCGCCTCCCCTCCACGACACCTGACTGATGTATTGATGAATTTAGTGTCTTGAAGCCGATAAGCCGATGTTTGATAATTTCACAGTAAATACACATATAGATCCTAGCAGGAAAATGCAGCATTGCCTGATCATCAACCGTGCACAACTTGCACAAATATTAGTAGCCTTTCATGGAAACTTAGTAGCACTGACTTCGTTCTTTATAATGAATGGGAAAAGGGGAAAGTGATGTATGCCATAAAGCAGTCTGCACATTTGTAGTTATTTTGTGTGTAAGGGTTACTGCCATACTCCTCAAAGTTGTTTAGTACCGGTGAAGCGATACAGACCCCCTCAGGACATGATAGAGTTATCATTCAAGTAGTTGTAAGTAGACTTATAATCACAACAGTTATGAAAATATTTTATGAGGGTTGAAAATGTACTTAAAGTTGGTTTAAGTAATTTAATATCCAAAAGTTGAAGTCAAGTTTTCGTTGGTGGTAACTCAAAGAAGACTTTGTCTAGTTTTAACTTGATTTAGATTTGTTTTAGGGAGTGTATTTTCTATATCCTATATCCTATAAATCTTATAAAGTGAATAGAAATATACTATATGTATATATAAAAAAACATATATATATATATATATATATGAGAATATATTTATTGTCCATCTGATAATGTTTTAACACTTCAAATTGACTAAATACCTGTTTTTTTTTTATTATTTTCATTTGTTTCTTCAGCTAATGAAATGTGAAAAATTACTATATGTAGCAAACAAACATTCTTTTGCTTGGTGCTACAAGCTGATAGATCAGAGGAAAGATATTTAAGTAGGCGAATATCTCTCGCTCCCCATCATTTGTTATGGTTCTTCCCTTTCTGACTTGCTTTTAGAATTTCTTTTTGAGTTTTCAGTTATTTATGACGTTCTGTTTTGTTGGTCACTGGTTTCTTTTCCATTTTGTGTCATATTTAAGCTGTGTTGCATTTTTGGAGTTACTCTCTGTTGCCCCCTTGTGCCTGTCTGCTTTCCTCTGGCTCCCATTTAGTCACTTCTATCCACACTTGCTCCATATCGGCTCATTAGCCCATTTTTTGTTCTTTTCTCTATATACTGTATACACACCACCTCTGCAGTTAATCATTGCTGGTTTCTCTTTGTTACTTGGCTCCTCATGTGTGTTTTACCCTTGTTTTTCAGTTTGTTGGATTTTTTTTTCAGTTGCTTTTTTTAATTTCTTTAAACCTGCAAGAACTAATCTCTTCTTTTGGGTCCTCAACCAACCTCCACCCAACCATGACATTATTTTCCATTTCTACAATTTTTGCCTGATTCAGTTTCCCTTTCATTTATTCAATTTTTTTAATCAGGAAATCACATATGTCCAAACTTTGTAGACAAACACTCCAAACTCGTGAAACTGTTTACAAATTACAATGATAATTTATTTATTTTAATTTATCAAAAGTACTAACTTCTAGCTCCAAAAGGTATAATCTAAAGGTGTTTTTACAACAAACACAAAAGCTCCAGCTTCGCCTACTTGTCTTCACTTGAAATTTGCCTGGCCAGTGAACGCAATTTGCACAGTGGGAGAAAGGGTCCCACATCATGAGCCTCCAAGTTGTTTCAACTCAACATGGCCAACTAGGATATCCAGCCTTAACTTGCAGTTTTTTTTATTTTTGAAAGCTGAACAAGGCTGTCAGCATCCCTGAGTTGACCAGATTCTCAGAGACGGGACCAGTGGGGGTGTAGTGTGTCTTCTTACTTGCTTTGGGCAGAACTCCAAAAAAAGTGAAAACAATGTGGTTAAAAAAAGCAAGAGATGATGCTACATGCATTTCCGATTAGTTGTACTCTTACCTAATTCCTTACATGGTTGAATAAACACTATCTTTTTAGCCTGCTGCTACACTTCTGATGCTGCAGTTCAAAGCTTCTCTTATTTTATATCAATCAAAATTTGATCGCTCAATTAGTTGTGGAGTTCCCGCTACACAAAGACTACAGGGATGCTTATGTTAGGGGAGGGCATTTCTTACATGCAGAGATTATTTGAAGCATTCTGCATACTGATAGTGGAATTATGTTCTATTTTGGAGGCAAACAGATGGGTGAACAGGCCCACATACACATATATAATGTAAATGATCTACATATGAAATATGCCTTTTTATTCTTGTTTTTATTATTATTTTCATGAAAAAATAACTTTGATGGATTATAATGATGTGGTTTGATTTAAATGGAAATATTGGATATTGATATTCTGTGTAGTGTTATGGGCAAAATTAGCTGATTTATGCCAAGATAGTGTTAAAACTGAGTGTGGAACACTAGAAGATGAAAACTAGGTAAGAAGTGAAAATCAGTCATTCTAATTTGATGACAGATTTTAGTTGGCGTTTGGTTGACATAGAATTGAGTTGATGGTAGTTTTCTTTGGGATCGACTGATTCTAAAGAGGTACAACAAGTTGGGTTTTATTTAGAAACAAGCCAGCTGAAAAGAAATTTTTTCCAGCAAAAAGATTGCTTTATACTAGACTACATTGGATATCTTAAAATACAACCCAGCTCTTCAGACATTTGGTCGTGATCTTGATCTCCCAGCTGTTTAAGAGTGACTGCACTGTAGTTGTGAGTTGTTGCAAAGCTCAGGAGGAGCTTTTAGTCTTTACCACAGTGCTATTTTCAAAAGGTACTGTAGAAGGAACATGATTCAAGAGTAACTTAGCAGTACTTTAAGCACTGATGTATGGCTTTGCATATTTTATTATATTGTGATTTACTGCATCTAACATTATGTTAATTTAGGTTGGTTAAATACTTCTAATACAGTTTTAACAAAAACTATTCCCCAACTGCACCAATGATTAGCAGAACATTTTGTTGCAAATTACCCTCTAGTTTTTCAGCAATGAACTGTGGGCAATAATGTCGTCCACAATGTTAAAGACCATTATGGACATTAGTGAGCATCCTCTTTAGAAAGCTGTTAAACACCCACAGAAACTCTTCAGTTAGAGGCTTCTTCTTATCCAATGCAGGGCAGACCACAAACAAAGATCCATCCTGTCTGGAGCTATCCACATCTACAACAACCCTTTGAAGGCTGATGAATTACTTTGATATCTTATTCCTTTGAGATCAGTTAGTTATTATTGAATTGAATGTGGATTGAAATTTACAGTATCTCTATCGTCTCTCGTCAAAAGTGGCCTGCTGTCATATTCCAAAAGATTGAGGAGCTGTTTATTTTTACAGCAGTGCATTCTGACAATAGCAATCGAGGGGGCTAAAGCTAAAAGTCACATGGTTAGTGACCCAAGGTGGCAAAAGTTAAATGGTGTTGCTTTAAATCAAATACTAAGATTCTGCAGTATGCAATTTGGATGTTTGATTGTTGCTTTCATGACACCTAACTTTCTATAGTCAAAGGTAAGCTGTGCAGCATGTCACAGCATTTGTGCCCCAGTGTAAATCACAGGATCAGTAAAAAAATAAATAATAATAATAATAAAAAAAAGCTGCCACCCTCTGCTGTAATTGATTTCGGCAAGGACTTTTTCAGAGCACATTCTGTGAGAACACAGACAGTCTTATCTGGCACCATACAGCCTCCTCAGCAGGATGTCAGCCCCTCTTACTCTTCAAGCTGATGCTGGGGGAGGCGATTACACCCAGTGGCACTTGCTGAGCTGCATGGTATTGGAGAAAGTGTTCAGATAGCCAATACAGATTTTTATCTATTGGCTTTTATCCATCATGGAGCATTACTGCTGAGCAAAAAACTCCAAATATTCAAGTGACACATCAAGAATTCTGCAAAATCTTTTTGTGTTTAGTTTTGTTAAGAATCTGCACATAATTTTGTAGCAAAAAAGAACTCTAATATTTGACTAAAATAGTGTAATATTCTATTTTGTTAATGCCAACTTAAATATGTATGAAATATTTATATTCAATGATTGATATTTTTATATAAAAATATAACCATGTTGACACCCTGTCTAGAATGTTATGTGAGACATTCTGTCACTTTCCAAGACAATCTTTAAACGTGTACAATAGTAGTTTTTTTATTTTTATTTTTTTTTTATAAATCTTAATTGTAATAGAAAACCGTGAAAACTTAATTTCTTCAAAGTACAAAGACTAAAAACCAAAACAAAAAACATATACAGAATTTGGTTGTCAACATAGAAATAAACTGTGGAAAAGATATGTTAAAAATCATAT